AGTGTAATTTTTGTGAACAGATATACTTAAAGGCTTACGTAAAAAACACCTCAAACTTTAAACGTCCTATCGGAACGGCGCGACACCTCGCATGCAAAAACACGACATTTTTAATAATATATCCAAAAATTTTTGACGTCAAGTTACAACTTGTACTTTCACCTAAAAGCACCGGTACCGCTCAAAGTTTCATCGGCGCACTCAGCTGAACGCGGTTGTCGGTTCATTTTTTAACCGCCGCAAAAAGGACGAAGGCGGAGTTAAATTATTCACACGCGGGCCTATTCAAGGGAGAAACGGAAAAAAGTGAAAACTCAGCGTATCCTCCCTTCCCCTCCCCCCTTCAGGCCCGCGCCCCGCTCCCCGCTCCCCTCGCCGCATGACAAACGATCGCAAGGAATATAGCAGATGTTCTGTGGGGACGCGAATGAGGAACGAATGGACACGCGATGTGTTTAATTTTTTCCTTTTCCCGGTAATAGCTGCGGGAAACTTTGCGGCGGGGCGGTGCGACAAAAGGATTCCAGAGAAGTCTAAAACAATATACCTTTCGATTATTTAGATATCAGTACAATAGTAGACTGTAAAACTATTCAGTTACACATACTAAAGCATAATACGCTTTACATTGAATTCTTCACGTGCTCATCAGTTAGTGTATACACAATTTTATATATACTTTTAAGACAAAAATATATGCTCTGTCTAATACTTGTCTGTTAATCTACATTCTTAAAGGATTGCAGGGAAGTATAAAGAAGTGTTGGAACGTGTAAAGCGTGTTGTAAAGGGCTCGCAAATGAAGCAATCCCAGTCGTACGGTCCATTGCGCCTCGGACTGAGCCCTCGGAGGGCTGAGACGGGAGCACTGAGCTCGGAACAACTTAACGACCCTTTGTCATTGACCATTGTGGATCGCTTTTAACATTTTTACTATTCACTTGGTTCATAAATAGATTAAATTGGTGTTTTATAAAAAGAAGACCTCAGTAAGAATACATCTAAATCTTGTTATCAAAAACCTTTAAAAGGTTTCGTTCAATTTCTAAAACCATAGTTTACGTATCCATTCTGTCTGTCTGTGATGTTTCTTTGCGCATTTCGTCGTCTCGTCTTCGAATCTCTCCATTTTTATTAGTTTATCAGCGCCGAGGAAATTGCAACGTTTCGCCGCCGCCGCCACCGTAAATGTTTTTTATTTTCCTTTATTTCAATTTACTTCTCTGATTCAAGTTTTATTGCTTGTTCGATTTACATCAGAACTTATTGGATTTATTGCCTAAATAATGTTAGCCTCCTAATAAATAGGATACGGGACACGAGCGCTCTTTGATTTAACATTTTATGAAACATGTATTTCTTTTTACATCATTTCATAATGTATCGAAATGTATTTTACAGCGCAGAAATATTTATTATATACTCGATAAGCTAAAGAACAAAATTGTTATCATTTAAAAACGTTTGCTTTACTTTATATGAAGGTAAATTGAAGCCTAAATAAAACAAAACACGGTCATATCACAACAGCAAAGTACTAGGCGATCATAAATTGATAAACCCTCGCGCCAAATGAATCATCGATTTCAGTTTGGAATAACGAGGCACCACACCACAGCACGACAGGGGCACATAGCGGTGGCCGCAGACAACGCGGAATTCCAGTTCCGCGCCACTCGGAATTCCAAACAACGAGCATCAGTTCTGCCTCACTCCACATTCAAGTGAAGCTCAATTATTTCCACGTAATCATGACAATGGCACCCCTATCACGGCGTAACACCTAGCGCACTCAGTTTTAATTACACCCGTTAAAATTTTGTTACAGACGGTTATTGTAAACAATATAAGTTACGTAATTGCAGAGAGATGCTAACGATGTACCGGCGCGGCTCAATTTGCACCTCGCGTGTGCCGCGCCCCGTCGCCAGAGGGCACTACAACACAATAACATTTTAAATTAATATCTCTCAGACACTGTTCGATATCATGTCATATTTAACAATTATTTTTCGGTCCAATTAAAGGCTCGATTGCAGGGTGTCAGTAAAATATTTAAGTGTTCTCTTATTTTTCAGAAATAGAGATGTGAAATAGAGGTGTGATACATGTACTTGTGCTTCATTTATTTCGTAAGAACAATGACGTCACAAGTTAAGTCAAGTATAAAATGTGTTTCACTGCACACAAAAGGCACCACGATGCGAATCACAGTCCGAAAATTGACGAACAAAAACCGGATTAAACCGGTTATCGGCGGCTGCTAATAATAATAGTGTCCCCAGTAATCCCGCGTGACGGATGACAGCTCCACCCTCGCCGTCCACCCCTTTTAATTGCCGGCGTGAATATACGTCCGTCAGTCACGGGGTATTTTCGATTTATATTATAATAAGTTCGATTCGATTTCGCGCGGTTTCTTGACAGCTCGGTGTGATAATAGCTTTGTCCCTCGCAAGGCAGGCGCAAGTCGGGGGCTTATATAACTTATGGACCCGACGTTGACACCGCACAAGACATTCAACTTCTCTATGTGTTATATTTATCCGATGGATGATTTAGGTATTTGATATCCAAAAAGTAAACACTGGATTGTATTATATTACAGCAGATTACATGTGTTCTTAAAACACACGAAGGAGACAAATTCAAGCTCATATTCAAATTTTGTTAAAAATGCCTTATAAAAATATTGCACAATCAACATGAACAAAATTTTTCGCTTTATGTGTTAGTGGATAAAATATGCATTTAAAATTTTCCATCATGCAGAACGCACTATTCAAACATCCGATAGCAGAATAGAAAAATCTGGCTTAAAATCAAACTCCCAATTAGAGTTAAAAAATACGTCAAAAAGTCGACAGAAATCATAAAACAAACAACGTCCAAACGTTTAAAACACATGGTCCGGCGGAAATTCCCAAATTTATTGATGAAATGAAATAAATCGCCAGCGAGCCAGTCGGAGCGATCGTACGGCACACCATACCGCGGCATCTGCGTTAACCGTACACCTCGTCCGTCATAACTGTCCAATTATACCGTCGTACGTTTGCCTGCCCGCGCCCACTGCCGGTGACACTTAACGCCTCGGCTTTAGGTAACAAATTGCATTGTCTCCGCCTCGCCATAGATGTGCAGGCGCGGGAACATTCGCAGATGAATTGCCGCATCTATTGTACGGATTATCGAGCTCGTCGCCAGCTATAGAGGCGCCAATACCAAAACAAATATCATTCAAAACGAATCCTCTGACGTGTAAGCATTTGTAGACAGCAGATGGTGAAAATATTGTTACGTCATGCGTAAATTGCTTCGTTTGAATGATGATAGCTATCGCTGTGCGAGTTGTGAATCTGAAAGAGATTGCGACTGAGGTGACTCCCAAAGTGACGCTACGTGTGAACACATTGCGGGGAACAAGGACAATATCTAGAGTGATTCTGCAAATGTGTGTTTTATTTATTTAGACTAACATTACGATCACCTCTTTAATCTCAATTCCATGCTGATTTGAAGAAGTATTATTTTTACGGGTTTTATTTTGCACTTTGCGATGAACATATTGAAAAGAAAGAACTTTACACTTTTTATTTACAGATACAATGTTGAGTTGTACGATATTGATCCTATGTTATAAGTTGCAAGGAATTTACGATTTAAACCAGTTATTTTTAGTTCCTGTTAAGATCTATTTCAACGTATTGCAGGAACATAAAGTTCGCATCATTATCAAGGAGTGTATTAACAAGCGATGCACAAGTGTGGAGTACAGCAATAACAGCGCCATCGGAACCCCAGCCAGAATACTTTACACATTCAGAGAGCGTACGGAGGCCGGGCGTGTAATTTAATTGCGCGGACCGCGGGCGTACAATGGCGAGTGATTGGACAGCGCGAGGAATTCTAATCCAGTACAAAGTTTGGGGAATCTTTCGTTTAGGAGATGAGTGATTTGATTATACGCGGTCGAGCTTTCACTTGTCACTGAAATTTGAACATACGAGTAACTTCAACTGTTACATGGAGTTGTGCTTGACACATCACTGTAGATAGTTTAACCTGAGAGTAATTCAATACATGTAAGAGTATATAGTTCTGAGTAAAAACAAATATTATTTAACTGCAACCACCGTGTTTAATAAACGTCAATCAGGCGACGTAAATCAACTAATACGTTTACTCGGTTTGCGTTAGCGCACCGCAGCCTGTGAGAGTACAAAAGCCTCATTTAACATTTCATTTTACTGTTTATTCTCGTCGCCGCTTGGTAGCGTGATTGTGTCACGTCTGATCAACTACTGAAGTAACAACCTACTTCACTTTGTCATTACGTACATTTCAAACATTTACTTGTTTAAATACATAGATACAGTTATATATTGATTTAACATTAAATTATTGTTTAAGTATTTTAGATTTACAAAATAATCTTTATTTTCTTAATAAAGTTTTTCTAAATCTCGAATGTGATCAATAGCGAACTGTAATATGCGACTTCGTTTCGAATGGCGCGTCATAAGTAATTTTATTTCTTCGTTTTGATTATGTACTTACGTACAACATACGTACATCGATTGGTACATAAATTGATTTAGTTGCAGGTGGTGGGAAGGTAGTGAGGTCCTGAGGGAGCGGTCGCCTGCAGGCCTCCACCAGACGGCAGGGTCGGCGACCTTGGAGGCAATGCTCCGTACCTTCGACAAAGCATTTCAAATCAAATAATACTTAATATTGTTACTCGTATCAATTAAATAAATGGTCTTCAATATGCATAAAAAAGAAACCGAAGCCCATTTTGCGGATTACGTTTAGCGACAATTGCTAAAGATATCCTCCAAGAAAACCTTCGTTAAGTAAAGAAAGTCACTACATACACATATTTCAATGCAATAAATAAACAACGTGATAAATTTATTAATAACAAGTTTTCAGTTATTCTACTAACTTTTTAAATGTAAAAGCAAACTAATAGTAGAGTCCAACGCCAGTATTACCTGAGCCTTGCTGCACGCCGCGCCGCTCAGCGCACGGTAGTCCCTCGCGCTGCGTATCGTAAATATTTACCGGACCCGACACCTTCCCTATAGCTGCGGAACGCGGCCGCACGCCAATCTCGCTTCTAAAGCGAACGATCCAAGGCCTAGAGTCTCTCGAGCACACAGTCGTAAGTCTATCGGCATGCCGTGTTTGTGTTGTCCAAACAGTAAGTTAAGAACTGGTTAACGATTGTTTAACTAGCTCGTTATTTTTAACGTTCGACCGGTTATCGTTTTTATTATTATTACGATGTACTCCGCGATGTACGCGCGGTGCCAGCGTGTACTCGAATAAAGTTTCGAGCTACGATCGCATAGAGTTCGCGGGTGTCGCGAGGTATCCCGTGTTAGGCGGGCGGCGCGCTCGCTGGGCGGCGAGCGAGTGGCGGTGGCGGCCGAATGGGGCGAGAGGCGATGCTTTGAACCGCCCAGACGCTCAAGCGCCCAGCAACCTGACTCCTTAGTAATACATCTCCTTCACAATTTTCTGATGTAGTCTTACAATCCACTCGAACAAAGTTTCTTCGTCAATGTCCCAGATGCATTTATCTGTACATCATCTTTGATTGATATTACTTTATGTTGTACAATAAACAAATATTGGTTTATTTGTTTTAGAGTTCACTAATAGTACCTAGAACTTTCTCATTATGACGTGCTCTGATTGAATCCGACCTAGAATAATTACAGAGAGGGTTATAAAAGCGCACAAACAATATTATCACTGGATTCCACTAGCGTTGCAACTCAAACTCTAATCACCTTACCGTCGTCCCTCACATCCAGTCTAACAAAATTAGAATCCATAAATAGTTATAACCTTTTAATTTCCTTCGTTTAACTGACATTTTATTGGTAGCGAGTGCCTGGTGCTTGTGGCGCCCTCTACCCACCTCTCTGCCGGCATGTTTAATTTTATTAGCCATTGTTAAACTTTTACATGCATGTCGGTGTTACGATACTATCAAATTTAATAGTAACAGATTACAACTATTTTCGGGTTTGCGGTTTATGTCTGTAAGCACTTTTAAGTGCTAAAATATATAGTTCTTAATATTGTTATCGTAAATCGTATAAATCCATAGAAAGCTTTTAAAATAGTATTAAAAATGTTAATTAGAAGTTAACAATTACGGCTTCCTTTACAATTCGCAATTAACGATTTTAAATCGTCTTTTCTAAACATAAGAAAAAAAAGACATTCTCTTGTAAGTTAGGTTATTAGACAACAATAATTCAAAGATTCCAGATCAGTTTGCAGCTTGTCTTCGGTCTAAAAATATCTAGATTTTTTCGAATTATTTGGTAATTGTTTTGTTTAATTGTCGTGGACAAAGACGTGTTTACAAATCTGTACGAGTAACGAGCAGAGGTCCGACCGCTTCGCTAGAATTAGCATAAACAAATTAACTGGGTCTACTTAAGTACCAAAACCCATAAAGGCTCGGGGGTAAAATCCTGAAGAACAACACAAATCCAATTTGGGCGCGCAGCAATAGCGGCACGTAATCCGCGCCGCTCGATCCTGACATATTTTTAATTAAACGCCACTTAGCCGGCGCCTGGCCGACTCGCGCGGCAACGTTTAGCGCCAGTGGACTCAGGACATTTCCTCTAGGAGTTTTTGTTAAAAATAATTTAAACCTCATTTACATTTAAGAGATATCTTTTATTATTGTTATTTCAACTTATTGAATAATAATTAAACGAATAATTTATATCATTATTGCTTTTAACAGTTACAGAACAGATTAAATAGAAAATCAAAAAAGATCCCTTAATCAAAATTTAGTTTGCTATCTTTTAAAATAAAATTAATAAAACGCTCCCCTGCACGCTATCTTCTGCACTGGATACGAGGCAATATGTAGGCGATGTTAAGTAATGTTCGTTGGAACATACCGAGAGCATATCGTCAGTCAGTAACGGCTAACAGAGTATAAGTATGTATATATGTATATAGAAAGCGCGGGAGTGAGCGCCGCCTCCTGATGCCGATTTAATTATCACGCTGTAAGACTAAAGTAGGTGACTTCTAAACGTTTCCTCGTTAACCTTCTGATTGCCAGACAATTTTGCACATGGAATTTTTTACAAAAAAATCATTGAGATCTATGTATTTATTTAAAAAACTCCTTACAGTATACAACGAATAGTTAGAGATATGTGTATAGTTGCAGTGCAGGCATTTCAACGAATAGTATAAAAAAGTAGTAAAAATATATTTGAGAAAGTGATAACCGATAAAAAGCAAAATATGCATCGGCCGGGAATCGAACCCGGGCCGCCCGCGTGGCAGGCGAGCATTCTACCACTGAACCACTGATGCCTGTATAATATACACAGTAAAAGTATGAGCAGTAGAGCTTGGTTTTGGTAACAAACTTTACATGCATCAAATTTAAGCCTATGTCATAACACAATAGATGTTTCAGAAACATTTGAACAATTTGAATGTTCTTCAAGTAGAGTAAGTGTAGCACGCCTTGTACAATGACGCTAAAGTCATAGCTCTACAACAATTACCATTGAACACATAATGGTTTGATAGATAAATTACACAATACGTCTAGCAACACAGCCACGGCTGCGTCAGCCATCGCAGGCTGTGCGGAAGTGGTGGCGATAGCGCGCGCCGGAAGTGAGACAGCGCCGCCATGTTGGCTACAATCTGCTCGCTGTTCTATCTGTCCAGTTCGCTGACGTTTGAATTAGTTTCCACGGAGATGCACTTTAGTTTAGTAGATATATTGTTGTGTTATACAAAGCAGGTGCAGAGACTTGACATTTCAATAAACATATGATACTTTCTCATAATTATAATGCACATTTATAATGTCATACATTTACAGTTAAAGTAAATAAAAGTTGCAATTACACAGACGGTTACTTTGATGCAGAAAAACCATTTTAAAATAATGTATAATTTAGCTCTATTAATTGTCTGCGATATGAACTATTAATAATTATGGAATCCCTACTCGGGCGCAGTCGGGGAACGGGGATTAGGGCGCAGGCGCGCGGGGATCAGCGTGTAATCCCGTGCGAGCGCGCACAGCTGGAGCGGGCTCCGGGCCGGCGGGAGCAGCCGGGGCAGTCGGGATTTTGTTTGCAATGCATGCCGCGTTCTGGGAACTATCTCAGCCGTCGGCTGTTACCACTCAACATGTTTTCTTTTGGGGCTTATCTATAGCAATTGGATTAAGTTAATAACTATCAGTACGTTTTTAAATTTAAGGAAATAGATATTATTATGAATTATTCGACCGTATTCCAAATATATTTAGGGAATTAGATGCAACTCTGTTTGCGGCTCATTACAAGTTTACTTAAGCTAATCATAGCTTATACTTCATATAAACGCCCGCCTCCTGAGCTAGGCGAAAAACCAACTCAAAATTAACCACATTAGTATAGTATTTTTGTTTTAATGACTTGTAACGCACCTTTTTCGTAGCCGGAACCTTGAGCTATGATAAATGGCGTTAATTTATTGTCGCACGCGCTTCCCCCCTCCTCCTCCCCGTAACACCGGCAATTCATAAACACGCCTGCAATTACTGCTGCCCTGGGAAAGGAGGTTGGAGGGGTGCTTTATGGTGTTGTTAGGGCGACACGGGCGGTCAGCGCGCACCGATAAGCTGGTATTAACTAATTTTATAGCTACAGATTAAAATGACTAATTGTAGTCACAGATATGATTATAGCGGTGACAAACTTGATGGTAATACATTACCTATAACAATTCATATTTATAGCAACACAAACATTCGTGATTATTTAGGTCTGTGAAAGTCTTCATTACTAACCTATTAACCAAATTATGCTTTCATTTAAGATGGTTAATTTGACTCATTCAATTAATTTTATTAATTGTATAAAATCCCAGAAAAGTGTAGACAATCAAATGTGTTCAAGCGAGCCGCAAGCCACCGCCCGACGCGGGGCGCCGCCTAGCGGAGTGAACTTGAACGTTGTATTACGAAGAGGCACTTGCATTACAAACTTGTATAAAAGGGAAAGAAATTTTGTCATTTCCCCGCAGCAATTATTCATAGGGAGTGGAGTCTACGTCACGCATAATCTATTCAAAGGAACACTGGGAGAAATTCAAAAAAAGAAATACATAGGTCGAATCATCACCACCCACACGCCTTTTCTGCGGATTAACGGTGAAAAAAAAAACATTACAAAATGAGTTTTCCCGGCATTGTGCGCGGCTGAGGCTGCCTTTTTGTTTCCTCCCACTTTACAATTTTAACGGAGGTGTTCGGGAGTGCCGCGTGTAGTGCCCGAGCCAACAACTTTGTTTTATATTATTGTAACCGCCCGAAATACGGACGTTTCGGTGATTTCCGTTTTACTGAAATTTGTCGCAGTTTGTTGTTGTTTTTTTTATCCATCTTTAAAACATTATAGCTTTCAGTTCGTCTTTAATAAGCAACACATCTAAGAAAAAACGTTATTTTACTGCAAAATAAAACTATCAGCTTTTTTTTATATCATTACACAAGTAAGTATTAGTTTTTTCCTGTTACTAAATCATATAGATACGTGATGTCTTGTTTTTTTTAATTCTCAGAAGCCACAACCATAATCATTGAGCCATAACCATTTGAATTGATTAGGGCGCGTAAGAGGAGCGAGTGTTCAGGGAGACACACAGGGAGATAATCCTGGCACAAAGAAGGATCGACCGGGATACAGGCTGATTGATTACAGCCTGCGGGCGGATCACACTCGTTCAGCTTCGTTCAGCCTCGCTTAGTGGCGTTCAGCAAACGAGGACGCAGCCCGCATGTTTTAGCGATGGATGTAGCACAATCTATCAATCAAACAGTGAACAGCCTCAACATTTCTTCAGTTCTGAAAATTATGAAATAAGACAATACAAACATCGATCTAACCGCGCATAGAATTTTTTACAAAAATATATTTTTAATCTTAGCATACGTCATAATTGCATACGCTTAAGGCAGCTAAAAAAGTAATCG